AAAATAACAAAAGGGCCATCTGTCTCCAGCACAAGTCCTAGACTTTATACAACATCTCAGAACAGACCTGGGGGAGTGTGTTTCACATCCATCAAAGAAAATAAATGCGTCTTTGCATATTCTCATCTAAAACAGTGTATCTCTTGCTTTTGATGACCTATTTGGCAATGTTTAAGCTTAACATTTCTCATTTACTAATTAAGTGCGTCAGATGTAGGACATCTAAATGCCTCTCCTTAGGTTTGTTTCCTCATAAACATTAGCCAAGTATGTAATCTGTATCTTTGAAGCCTTTTTTGTGCAGATGTACTAAAGATGCAATTATGTTTCTGTATCCTTTTATACCAAAGTGAGGTAATTAGGAGTTGGAGCAGCTAAGTACTATGACTATGGTCAGAACCTTGTGTACTATGGAGCTTCAAACTCTGTGATCCCAGCATTTAGCTCTACCCTGATTTATATTAGCTAACTCAAGCCATTCAAATGTATAAGGTGGTTTATTCCTTCCTGCATCTTAACAATTCATGATACCATGCTTTTGCCAAGCAGACCTGAATGGAAGAGAAGGAGCTGCTAAACCTTGGAAAGAATGCTTTTATCCCCTTTGCTGAGGATCTGCCTTACACTTGCTATTATTCACAAGAATGTAATAAGTATGAGATTACCCTAGGAGAGACCAGAATAAGACCAAAAGTGGAATTTTATACTTAAATAACATAATAAAAGACAAAAGTCACTAATTGCATTGCTTTAATCTTTTGCAGAATGTATACTGGATGGCAAAAACTAGGTAGAGTTTGAGACCAGAAAACCAGAACCTTCCTCCTCTTTCAAGAGAAATAAAGTTTTGAATCCCGTAGAAAAATCTGTAAGGCTTATAAGCAGTTCTAATTTGACTGTAGGCTTTCATCTGTCCTTGTCTGCCTGTCCTCCCACTTCTTGCAGAGCCCTGTTTTAAAGGTAGCCTTCTATATAGATAGCTAAATCCCAGAATTCTTTTGTATTTACTAAGAAGTAACTAAACCTCCTTTGACATACTAAGTACCATCCTGGCATAATTTTTGGACCAGTAAATCTGTGCCTTATCTGCTGTGGCAAATCCTGTGTTCTGGTTTGTATGTCTTTTCATGATGTTTATACTATGTAATGATAGCGCCACATTTTAAATTGTTCCCACTTTTGTCCATTGCCCTGCTCTTAGAACAAGATACAGCAGTAGTCTCAGTCAGATTATGGAGGCTGAATTTAATGGCACGCACTTCTTTCCAAACAGTCTTGAATGCAGTATGTCCAGTCTTCTCTTTCAGGAGTCCCTGAATATCACAAATAACCTTGAGCAGAAGGAACATAATGCTAAATTTTGTAGGCTTTTTTTGTTTGTTACTTGATTCATCAGCTCCTGCCTTGTTACAATTAGTTTTTTGTGTCTTTATCTAATGTCAGCAGTAGCAAACGTTTAGGGACCCTATCCATTTAGAAAATGTTATGCAGTAGGAAGAAAATACTGGTGTTTATGCTCCCTATGCAAAATGCTTTCTAGGCCATTGCTGTATGTGTGACAATATTAGCATTTTGATTTTCTCACTTTGAAAAATTAAGAATGCTAAATATGACTGTGTTTGGTACCTGCATCCGGCTACTTGTACAGTGTCTGGCTTCCACGTTTTCCATGGGTTTTGTGCAGGGTCCTATCCTAGGGGCATTTCTTCCTAACCAGACATTAAGAACATGTAAAGCTTTGCCTACAGCAGTGGTGCTCAACCTTTTTGGGTGGCGAGCCAGATGGGGAGTACACAGTACATCTGTGGGCCAGAGCCGGCTGATGGTTCCAAACCAGCTTAGGGCAGTTGCAGCAACGCCCCATCCAGCCGTGTGGTAGGGGGCATCATGGCTCCAACCTGGCCCCGCGGGGGGGAAGGAGGGGTCAAGGCCCAGCCCCAGCCTGGCCCCATGGGGGGGAGGGGGGCATGACCCAGCCCCATGAGTAAAGGGGGCATGGCCCAGCCGGAACCCAGCCCCACAGGGGGAGGGGGTTTGACCCGGTCCTGCAGGGGAAGAGAAGGGGGCTCAAGCCGACCTTACAGGGGAAAGGGGGCATGGCCCAGCCCTATCTAGTCTGGGAGGAGGGGCCTGGCCTGGCCTGATCCAGCCACAGGGGTGGGGGTGTGATCTGGCCTGAACCTGCTGCACAGGGCTTGGGAAATTGGCATCAGGGGCGGGTGGCCATATTTATTGCCACCGCTCCCCTGCTACCATATTTTTTGATGCATGGGGAGCCCTGTGGGCCAGAAGCGTATGGCCCCACAGGCTGCATTTGGCCCGTGGGCCAGAAATTGAGCTTCCCTGACCTAGAGACTAAGAGCTGAGGAAAAAGTCCTCAAACCAGTACAACTTAAAAAGCATCTTTAAAAAGGAATAAAGAAAAGGAGGGTTGGCAATGGTGATCGTTGAGGTGACAGAGTGAAAGTAAAGTGAATGGCTTCATAGCAGGTTTATCTAACTTTTTTTTTGCTTGCTGCAATGCATTTTTAAGGATTTGCACTGTTAACTTATTGAAACGTTCTCTGAACCCTAACTTCACAGTAGCCAAGCTCTTTGGGTCTATAGTAACAGGAGATGGAAAGAATGCATTCAGTTATTATGTCCCCCACTCTTTCAGTTCAGGATATTAAGCCTTTTTGGAGGACACATCAGAAGCTAAACTGATGTTACATTTAATATTGATTGGAAGACCCATAAAATGCTAACTGCTGCCTGAGTGAATTTCTGGTGTGTTTTAGTGCTAAAAGATACCAAAAAATATGGAGAGGAAAACATGTAGGGAAAGGGGGACCCACAGGGCCAGTTTGAGCCCTCATGTGGTCCCCAGACCTGTCTGACGAACAGCTGATTGTTAGGTGCCTACTTAAAACAAAACTAACAACAGACAAATGAAACAATTTTTGCAGCTTGGTCACGGCATAAATAGCAAATTCCGCAGATATTCCCTGATGTGCTCCAGCAACCCTGCCCCTCAGCATTGATGTGCAGAGTTCCTGGCGGGGTGGGGGGAGAAGGGCCAAGGGAGGCAGCTGCCATCTTGTCTGCTGTCCTTCATGCCTTCCAGCTAGCCCAGAGGTGGGCTAAATGGCTGATCTGGCCAGCAGCTGGACTCTGTTTCCCAGCTGTCCCTGCCCTCATGGCTGGGGTCCAGTCTCCATGGAGATCCCAGCAGCAGCTGTGGGAGAAAACTCAAGGCTGGGTTGCCATGGAGACCAGCTGCAGCTGCACTGGCAGCATGTGCAGCAGAGCAGGCAAAGGGCTGCTCCAGAGCCACTAGGATCTTGCGATGGGGGCAGCTTGCTGCTTGCAGTTAAGACAGCCTGGTCTGGAGCCGGAGCAGAGCCACAATCCCCTGCCTGCGCAGCCCTACCCAGAGTGTGCAGGCTACAGATCGCAACTCTGCACTGACTCCGGAGCAAACTGCCCCCATCACAAGTTCCCAGCAGCTCTGGAGCAGCCCCTCGCACTGCTCTGCCACACAAGCTGTCAGCATGGCTGCAGCTGGTCTCTATGACAACCCCAGCCTGAGCTTTCCCAGCAGATGTGGCTGGGGTCTCCATGGAGACCAGCCCAAGCCATGTGGGCAGGGGTGGCTGGGAAATGGAGTCCACAGCCGACAATGCAGCCTGCAGACCAGACTTTGCCCATCCCTGAGCTAACCAGTGCCTTCACCCCACCCCAGGCAGGCTGCGATGACTGCTGGTTGCCACTGAGGAGCCAGCATTTTATTTTCATTAAGTTGTTTTTTTTTAAGTTGACTTCATGGACAATCCCAGATTTTGCAGTTTCTGTGAAATCCATGAAATTGTAAATTGAGTAGGCCTTTACTGTCTGTCAGCAGGATTAGGACTGCCCCAGGGCTATCTCAATCTGCCATTGCCTGGCAGGGATCACACTGGGATTTGAGCCCCATGGGTGATCCCTGCCAAACAATCAAATGATCAGGACCACCCCTGGGTTTGACCCCTCCCCCCAATCAGCTCATTCTGGGCAGGATCAGGACTGCCCTGGCAAGCCCTGGGGTCATCCTGACCTGCCATCAGCTGGCAGGGACCACCCCAGGGATTCAGACTCCAGGACAGTCCCTGCCAGCCAGTGATCAGGACCACCTAGAACCTGAAGCCCCAGGGCAATCCCAGTCCTACTTAAGGCAACCCCAAGGCTCAAGCCCCATGGTGGTCCCTGCAACACATTCAATTTAAGGTGCAATGGAAAACCAGCTACAAAGTTATTACAAGTATTTTGTGTAGTGACTTTGTAGCTGGTTTTCCATTAAATTGTGCCATTAATCTCCAGAATTTGTGGTCAATTTACACCTTAAAACAAGATTAACTATTTCTTCTTATCTTAAGTGTAACGCCCAGATGCCAATGAGGCTATAAGAGCACCCCTCCCACTGCCTCCTCACTAGTTGGTGTCCTTGGCACTCCTGGTCTTGTGGGTTTCCCTGGCAAAAACCTCTTTTCAAAACTGAATTTGGTTCCAGAAGTGAATTTCTCTCGGATTCTCTCAGTCCACTGATTTATTGTGTCTACTTAATTTTCCCACAGTGTGTCTGATTCTAGTCCTTTGCCTTTGTGGGTATTAGAGTATCTGTGAAGACTACGTTACCAGAACAGGTTTGGGATATATAAATGGGGGCGTGGGTATCCAGCTGTACTCCTAGCTATCAAAGGATTGTAACATAGTAATTTGAGCTTCCTTTTTTGGAACAGTTGTGATACAATCATAGGCACAGCTCTTGAAAACCAATAAAATCATCCCTGTTTAAAGAACTGGAGGTCAGATGGTCATTTGACGTGAATAGGATCCATTGGCTTCAAGGGAATAAACTTAATTCACACCAGCCAGTGAGCTAGCCTAAAGAATTTGGTTTATTTCCTTGACTTCTGATATCCAGAATCAAATGTTTTAACAAGATACAACACCCTGTAATGATCCTGAAATGTGAATTACAGGAATGCTCAGAGAGACGGATGTATGGTGGAGTATTCCCCTCGTCTCCATTCATCTACTACTATGACAATGAGTATGACATCAAAAGCAGAGCTAAGAGGCTAAAGAGAAAGGTTGAAGGTAGAGTATATTTTGTGAGATACTTCTTGCCCTTATCTCATCTTTATTAAATGGTCATTATCCATGTGCCTTGTTATATTTGCTTCTTTTTTATGCTTTTATACTTTATGCTTTTATACTTGCTGCTTTTTTATGCGTTTTCATTAAAAAACGGTTAACTTTGTAATTTGGGGTTTCTTCATGTTTTGGGTGGTGATGATTGGAATTTGGCATGATCTCAACCAAGAAGCAGGGCAAGAGTAATAAGTCTATTAATCCTTGTCTGTTTTTAAAATTCATTTCAAACCCTCCAAAGGGACACCAGCAAGTACTTTACTCTCAAATACTCATTGACCTTAAAATAGTTATTAAATAAGAAGGTAGAAATCCTGTTATCTGTTGCCAAAGCCAATCGACATGGGAAAAAAGCAATGACCAATAAGTGGCCACTCCCTTCAAAAAGACCTGTTATGGAAGAAAGGAGGGGTGCACTGATAAAGATTTTTGGGGCGGATACCAATGGCCAATTATTATCAAGCCATATCAGCCAATACCAATCTGACTGGCGATATGCAGCCTGGCAGCTTGGAGAGCAGCATCCAGCTGGTAAGTCTGTTGGGAGGGAAGGTGGGGGATACAGATTAGGATGGCTCTACTTTGAGCAGGGGGTTGGATTGATCCTGAG